TTTTCTCCGGGGGTGGGGGTAGGGGTGGACACTGTTAAAATATATATTTTCTATATAAATTCCATTCCTTGAGGGGGGGGGGGGAGTAGACTTTATTTGGTGTGAGGGGGGAGTGGGAAGAGATGTCTGGAAGAAACTCTGCATCTATGATCTAGATCTAGAATCTAGATAGTTCTAGGCTAGTTGGCGTGGAAGTAGAGTGTAGTCTAGAATCTTTTGAAAATAGGTCGATCCTACGTTAAAGTATAGTGGTGATTTATTGTTATGAGTTATGGTCAGAAACAGTTTCTTTCAGGCATATCTTCGGACATGGGCGAGGGACGGGGAAAGAATTTCATGCAGTTTCTTTCAGACATTTCTTTCCTTGGAGGGGGGGTCGGGGGGAGCACTTAAAACTTTCGGGATGGCGAACTAAATATTTCTGGGGGTGTTGGGGGGGGGGGCGTACACTGGCAAAATTACATATTACTATATACATTTTATTTCGTTCGCGGGTAGACGTGCAAAGAGATGCCTGAAAGAAACAGTGGGTTCAAGTGTTCCTTCCCGTAAAAATTGCAGACACAGAGGACAGTTTTATGTGTTAGGTTTGTCTAATGTTGACAATGGCATGGAGACAAATGTGTGTGTTTTGTCCATTTTCACCTGTCTCATGGTACTCTTGGACTAATCCAGGTAATAGAATTTGTTCAAATGTGATCACAGGCTACCCATAATTGCCCAATATGCTGCCTGTAAGTGCCCACAAGGCTACCCATAGTTTCCCACCAGGCTACCCATAGTTTCCCACCAGGCTACCCATAGTTTCCTAACAGGCTACCCATAATTTCCCACCAGGCTACCCATAAATGCCCACCAGGCTACCCATAATTTCCCACCAGGCTACCCATAATTTCCCACCAGGCTACCCATAGTTTCCCACCAGGCTACCCATAGTTGCCCACCAGGCTACCCATAGTTGCCCACCAGGCTACCCATAAATGCCCACCAGGCTACCCATAATTGCCGAACAGGCTACCCATAGTTTCCCACCAGGCTACCCATAGTTGACCACCAGGCTGCCCATAGTTTCCCACCAGGCTACCCATAATTGACCACCAGGCTACCCATAGTTTCCCAACAGGCTACCCATAATTGACCACCAGGCTACCCATAGTTTCCCACCAGGCTACCCATAGTTTCACACCAGGCTACCCATAGTTTCCCACCAGGCTACCCATAGTTTCCCACCAGGCTACCCATAGTTTCCCACCAGGCTACCCATAGTTGCCCACCAGGCTACCCATAGTTGCCCACCAGGCTACCCATAATTTCCCACCAGGCTACCCATAATTTCCCACCAGGCTACCCATAGTTTCCCACCAGGCTACCCATAGTTGCCCACCAGGCTACCCATAGTTGCCCACCAGGCTACCCATAAATGCCCACCAGGCTACCCATAATTTCCCACCAGGCTACCCATAATTTCCCACCAGGCTACCCATAGTTTCCCACCAGGCTACCCATAGTTGCCCACCAGGCTACCCATAGTTGCCCACCAGGCTACCCATAGTTGCCCACCAGGCTACCCATAGTTTCCCACCAGGCTACCCATAATTGCCCACCAGGCTACCCATAATTGCCGAACAGGCTACCCATAGTTTCCCACCAGGCTACCCATAGTTTCCCACCAGGCTACCCATAAATGCCCACCAGGCTACCCATAATTGCAGAACAGGCTACCCATAGTTTCCCACCAGGCTACCCATAGTTGCCCACCAGGCTACCCATAGTTTCCCACCAGGCTACCCATAGTTGACCACCAGGCTGCCCATAGTTTCCCACCAGGCTACCCATAATTTCCCACCAGGCTACCCATAGTTTCCCACCAGGCTACCCATAGTTGCCCACCAGGCTACCCATAGTTTCCCACCAGGCTACCCATAGTTGCCCACCAGGCTACCCATAGTTTCCCACCAGGCTACCCATAGTTTCCCACCAGGCTACCCATAGTTGCCCACCAGGCTACCCATAGTTGCCCACCAGGCTACCCATAAATGCCCACCAGGCTACCCATAATTTCCCACCAAGCTACCCATAGTTTCCCACCAGGCTACCCATAGTTGCCCACCAGGCTACCCATAGTTGCCCACCAGGCTACCCATAAATGCCCACCAGGCTACCCATAATTGCCGAACAGGCTACCCATAGTTTCCCACCAGGCTACCCATAGTTGCCCACCAGGCTACCCATAAATGCCCACCAGGCTACCCATAATTTCCCACCAGGCTACCCATAATTTCCCACCAGGCTACCCATAGTTTCCCACCAGGCTACCCATAGTTGCCCACCAGGCTACCCATAGTTTCCCACCAGGCTACCCATAGTTGCCCACCAGGCTACCCATAGTTTCCCACCAGGCTACCCATAGTTTCCCACCAGGCTACCCATAGTTTCCCACCAGGCTGCCCATAGTTTCCCACCAGGCTACTCATAGTTTCCCACCAGGCTACCCATAAATGCCCACCAGGCTACCCATAAGTGCCCACCAGGCTACCCATGAATGCCCACCAGGCTACCCATAAGTGCCCACCAGGCTACCCATAGTTTCCCACCAGGCTACCCATAGTTTCCCACCAGGCTACCCATAAATGCCCACCAGGCTACCCATAAGTACCCACCAGGCCACCCATAAGTGCCCACCAGGCTACCCATAAATGCCCACCAGGCTACCCATAATTGCCCAAAAAGGCTACCCTTAATAGCCTACGTAGCAACGATTCTGGACAGGTTTCTTCAATATTTTCCTACTGATACCTACTAGTACCGACAATTTACACAAGAAGTGTAAAATTAAAGCTCCAAAAATGAGCCATCTTATATTTTAAGAAAGAATGCATTGTAAGATGTATCCAGTAGATCTACACAGGGGTCGTCTTATCGGCTTCACACTCCTACTCCTACGGTGGGGGAGAAGGGCTCGTGGAATTTCGTTACGATATGTGACGAAGGGGATGGTGGAGGGGTGGGGAGTGTTTCTTCCAGTCTTTTTTCTCCGGGGGTGGGGGAGGGGGATCTTGAAATTTCCGGGGGGGGGGGGGGGCGGACACTGGTAAAAGCCCCCCACCGGAGAGATGCCTGGAAGAAACTCTGAGGGGGGATTCTTGAAAGCGCAATGATAAACGTTTGCTATTTAAAAAAAAATTGTTAGAAAACAGAATTTTTTTTAAAAGGATGTTTTTTTGTAACCTGTAAATAGAAATTGATTAACAAACTTGATGTTGGTCCAGCACTGAGCTGATGTTTTGAGGAGAGTGTTCTGAAATATCAGTTACATATTTGATGATTATGGGCTATTTATTATGTACCACCATTAAGTATGGCGTTATGCTCTTCCTCAAGATAATTGTTTCCTAACTTGGGTTCGATCGAACCCCAGGGTTTTGTTGAGTCAGTCTCAGAAGACACACACACACCCGACTAATTTGATTAATCATCTGACGATACAACTATTTAAGAATGGTTCGATGAATGCGCTTATAAAACCTGTGGAGTTCGGTACCTCCAAAAAGGTTTAGAACCACTGCTCTAGGGGTCGGCTGGTCAAGTCGGTAAAGCCACTCTTCTAGGAGAGACAACTCCAAAAATCAAACAACTGCTGCCTTGTAGTTTGTTCTTGGTTGGACAAAGGCTATGGAAGCAAATCCAAAAAGAAAAACAGACTGAAATCGGGAGTCAATGCCACTCTTCTAGGAGAGACAACTCCAAAAATCAAACAACTGCTGCCTTGTAGTTTGTTCTTGGTTGGACAAAGGCTATGGAAGCAAATCCAAAAAGAAAAACAGACTGAAATCGGGAGTCAATGGCGCATAACCAGTTGACGCGTATACTTAATTGTGTTGGAGGGAATCCCTTCCGACACTTAAATTAAGAACGAAAGAAGAAGCAGACTGTTCTAGACTGTAGACACAAAGTGTTATTTTAGTCATGACATTGGCAAGAATTGGTAATACACGCATTGGTTGTTTTTGTTTTGTTTGGCACATTGATAAAAGTACAAACTTTAGTAATCGATTAGGTTTTCCCTCAAGCTCATACACATGTCAACATGTCTTATATTAATGCTTTCGTTACTGTTGATATCATAAATAATTAATAAATCATGAATAATTTATAATTTACCTTTTCAGCAGTATCAATATCGTATAATGTAATCTAATTGTAATGTTACAGATTTTTTAAAAGACTGCAAATGATTCTTAAACTTAATTAGCAGAATTTTATAATACTAATTAGGGTGGTGACGTTAAAGTTGATTAGTTTTCGAATTGTTCTCAGTGTTTTAAATCATACGCATCTAATTCCCTAAATCATTTGTATCTGGTATATTGTAATAACACTACACTACAAACAACTTTTAAACTCTATTAAGCACATTTTAAAAATCGAATTAGTTTGACATACAAAATATAGACCAGTCATTTTACAGTCATGCTGATTTCTTGAATGGCATTTATGATTTGACATCCATGTCACGGATTAATTATGATGCCTAATTAGTTATCACCAGTAAAAGTTATCACCTATTTAGAAGCCCAGTCCACTTGACCCTTAACTTAAATACAACTCTTATCTTAATCCTTATCGTCTGCTAGCCAGAAAGCTCTCAAATATCAAGGTGCTAAATTAACATGTAAGAGTAGTGGCGGAGCGAGGGGGGGGGGGGGGTGCGGATCGCACCGGGTGACACCATTTGGGGGGGGTGACACCAAGGCTAAAAATAGCAAAATATTTAGAGAAAAATGATAATCCCACTTAATTAAGTGATTAATTCGAGTGTTAAATAGTATTTTAAGAAATGCAAATCGAAAGCTTGAGGGGGGGGGTGTGGGTGCAAATCGAAAATTGAAAGTTTGTCCCCAGGAAGGGTCGCTACGCCTCTGGGGGGTGACACCACACGACCTCGCTACGCCACTGTGTAAGAGTAAGGCTTAATGGTAGGAAATTTTTTTCCCTTACAGCTGAATCTCAGAAATGGAAGGCCGCGACCTTTTGGGCAATTGCTATGGTAGGGACCTTGGCTGTCTATCTACAGTTCACTAAAAAACACGAGGAGAGACCCGAGTTCATACCTTATCCTCACCTTCGTATCAGGAATAAGGTAGGGAAACGGCACTGTGCTGAGCTTCGTTATGCTAGACTAAACTGTTCTACCCTCATACTAAGGCTACGTTACTCTAAGCTACGTTATGCTACACAACTATACTACACTACACTTCACCACACCACACTACACCCCACTCCACCACACCACACTACACCACACCACACTACACCCCACTATACTACACTACACCACACTACACTACACACGCTACGCCGCACTGCATTGCAATACACGATACTGTAGTTCACTACCCTTACGCTTACATCTATGCCTACGCACCAACTTACATGCCTATGCACTAACTTACGAGCCTACGCACTTACACTTACACGTCTATAATACACCACAGTATCACCATAAAGATTTTCTATATTTTATAAACTGTTTAAAACATAACTTCCTCCCCGGCTCGAGTTCGAAGAAAATCTCCGAGTCCACCCAGCTCTAAAGGGTACCTGACATGTAAAAGAAAGTAAAACCGGCTGGGTATAGATTAAAACTGACCACACAATCCCTTTCCACATCGAGGTAACATACACTAGAGAACTCTACATCTTCTGCCCATTGTACCGCTAAATCCTATAAAGTAACTTACGGGACTTAGTCTTAGATTTACCACGACAACTGTAAATCTTGTCTGTTCTACAGCCATTCCCGTGGGGCGACGGCAACCACACCCTGTTCCACAACAAATACTACAACGCCCTGCCCGATGGGTATGAGGAGGACGAGTGAGCGAGTCATGTGACCTTGTCATGTGACCGTGTTTACCTTTAAGTCACGTGGTCTTGTTTCCCTCCAGAGATGCTGATGCGGTTGATTTTTGAAAATTGAATTTTTTAATTTTTTTTTAAGAACGCTTCATTAATATTCGTGTGACGTTTTTATAATTTATTTAAAAAAAAAGAATTTTTTTTTATTAATTAATAAAAAAAATATTTTAAAATTTATTTAAAAAAATAAATTTTGTTTTAGTTGTGTTCGGTTACCTAACTTGGTAAAGGGCAGCAACACGCCCAGAATTTGAAGGAAACTTTCCCCAAGTTATTTTTTTTCCATGGATTCTATACCTCATGGACCGTCAGGTTCGAAATTGGGAACTTTACTTCTACTTTTATACTAACTAAAATTGTAGTTAAACTATGACTTGACGTATTCATAACTTCAAATATCTATTTTAATATAACTAATTTATTACATACTTTTTATTTCTAAGAAAAAAATCTATTCCCGAAATATGAACTTTATTGCTAGACAGAAATTATAGCCCCTGAAAAGATTATCTCATTTTTAACTGAACTGTATCGTATTCCAAGGTTTAATCCGAAACTATTATTTTAATCCTCGTATTCTAGAACCTATAAATAGAGATGACGATTGCTTTAGTTTTTATTATAATGGCGACATTGGGTGGGGAGGGGGCAGGTTAAGTAGGGTTTCACTAACTGGTCTCAATATCCTTTCAAATAAAGGTTGTCACAATCGAGAGTTTTGTCTGAAATGGTTTGGGGAAATGGCATAGAGTTTAAAGTTGACTTAGTTTTTTGAGTGATAGTTGGCTGAGTCAGAGGGCTGTGATATTGTTTTACGTTTTGTTGTGTTTACTGGTGTTGAAGATGGTATAATTGGTAGTGTTGGTTGATAGTCTACTGGTGATGGTATAATTGGTAGTGTTGGTTGATAGTCTACTGGTGATGGTATAATTGGTAGTGTTGGTTGATAGTCTACTGTTGATGGTATAATTGGTAGTGTTGGTTGATAGTCTACTGGTGATGGTATAAATGGTAGTGTTGGTTGGTTTATAGTCCAGAATGGTGATGGTATAATTGGTACTGTTGGTTGGTTTATGGTCTACAATGCTGATGGTATAATGGTTAGTGTTGGTTGGTTGATAGTCTACTGGTGATGGTATAAATGGTAGTGATGGTTGATTGATAGTCTACTGGTGATGGTATAAATGGTAGTGATGGTTGGTTTATAGTCCAGAATGGTGATGGTTTAATTGGTACTGTTGGTTGGTTTATGGTCTAGAATGCTGAAGGTATAATTGGTAGTGTTGGTTGGTTGATAGTCTACTGGTGATGGTATAAGTGGTAGTGTTGGTTGGTTGATAGTCTACTGGTGATGGTATAAGTGGTAGTGTTGGTTGGTTGATAGTCTACTGGTGATGGTATAATTGGTAGTGTTGGTTGCTGGTTGGTAGTCAAGACTAGTGTTGATGATGGTAGAATAGTTAGTGTTGGTTAATTGATTGTAAGAACTGGTGATGGTATAAGGGTTTGTGTTGGTTAGTTTAAGGTGCAGAATGGTGATGGTATAATTGGTAGTGTTGGTTGGTTTATAGTCTAGACTGGTGATGTTATAATTGGTAGTGTTGGTTGGTTTATAGTCCAGAATGGTGATGGTATAAGTGGTAGAACTGGTGTTGGTGATGGTATAAGGGTTTGTGTTGGCTAATTGATAGTCAAGACATGTGACATTAAAAAATACATTCAATAATTGCCATCTAAGATGAATGTATCAGTAAAGCTTGCATAAAATCGGTCAAAATTGAGTTACAAGATGTGCCACAAATCCACCAACATACAAACAAACAAACAGACGTTACGAACTAAATAAAAGCTTGTAAAAAAGGAACACATTTCAATGATTATACCCGACTCGACACTTCTCGATGATTATGACTGAATGAACACGTCTGTTTAATGATTCCAGACAAATATTTGCATCCCGTTAGCGCTGAAAAATCTTCACAACTTCTAATCCTTTTCCTACTGCATGCAACGATGACCTGATTTCACGATTGGCGACCGTCAACACATACACATTTTTTTACATTTACAACGGGGTTTATAAAAATTTGATCGGATTTGTCTTCTTATGCATCAACTTTCATATTTTCTGGGGAAAAAAAAGGAATTTTTTTTGTGTTTAAAAAAAAGAAAAAAATAATGGACTCAGCTAAGAGGATCGATTCTGGTCATTCCGCCGCCCCCCCCCCCCCCCCCCCCCACAAGCCGCGCCCCACCCCTTTTCTCACCTGCGCGCCACTGAAACAACAAGGGGAATAAACGCTGGAACAGTGGATCGTCACCAAGGGACAGAACTCGTCACAAAGTCAGCTCTCCCAGTGAGTTTGCCTCCCCTGTATGAGGGGCGACTAATCAGTCAGCGCAGTTCAAGGGGACGTCATCTAGTGTTACTATTTTTCCTCTCTCGTTCATTAACGATGATTCGTTGTTTACGGTAACTTGTTGTCATGTTATGGAGGGGTAGAGGCCGGTGCTGTGCTGTGTGGTTTCACTGTTGGATGTAAATACCATGGATATGATGCCAGCATTAACACGGTAAGTAAATACACGATGAAGGATACTTTTTCCTCATTATTTATGTATCCATTCGGATCATGCTTCTGGATAGCAGGTATTTATTCCAATGTGCCTCAAAAAAAAATTTCAAGCCACCTTTTTTTGTTCGATAGCCTGGGATTATCCACCAACAACCAACCGTTAAAGACCTAACATTAAACCACCTAATAATATATTCATAATTAACAATGTTATCATCTACCCATTAAACATATTTCCAACAACATGCCGTCTGATTTGCCACAATCAAAACACCCACACTCACAATCCATACTACCACCCTTTCACTATCCACACTACCATCCATTCAAAATCCACTTCAGCACCAACTCACAATCCACATTAGCACCCACTCACAATCCACATTAGCACCCACTAACAATCCACATTAGCACCCACTTACAATCTACATTAGCACCCAATCACAATCCACATTAGCACCCACTCACAATCCACATTAGCACCCACCCACTCTAAATCCTCCACATTAGCACCCACTTACAATCCACATTAGCACCCACTAACAATCCACATTAGCACCCACTCACAATCCACATTAGCACCCACTCACAATTCACATTAGCACCCACTCACAATTCACATTAGCACCCACTCACAATCCACATTACCACACCCACCCAATATATTTACATTAACCCCACTCACAAACTACATGACAACCCTGCCCGCACCCATGTTATACAAGCCCCCCCCCCCTACCCGATATATAAAACCTACACCAAGCTCGCAGATACCATCCCCACTACACACAGTACCATCACCAATAATTTACTACCCACTCACCTCACTCACACCACTACCCACATTACATACACTCACCACCCACATACCACCCCACTGCCCACTACCCACATTACCAACTACCCACCACCCACATCTCTACCTTCAAACCACCCACATACCACCCCACTACCCACATTACCCAACCACCCACATACCACCCCACTACCCACATTACACACACTTACCACCCACATACCACCCCACTGCCCACTACCCACATTACCAACTACCCACTACCCACATCTCTACCTTCAAACCACCCACATACCACCCCACTACCCACATTACCAACCACCCACATACCACCCCACCACCCACATTACCAACCACCCAAATACAACCCCACTTCGTCATCTACCACTTACAACCTAAACTCCCACATTTCACCTACCCACTAAAAAACCCACTAATGTCTATACCATCTTGACCAGACAACTTTAATGTTAATTTGTCCTATCTTTCAAACACTATCCCACGCAGTTGACGAAACAACAACTCAACGTTAACGAGAAACATTGACAATAAAAGAAAATCTCCTCTATCTATTTTGCCGTGAGCGTTTTCTGAGTTCAAAGTTGTAAAACACAAATGTTCCATTAAAAAAAAAAGAATTTAAAAAAAATAAAAAAATAAAAAATAAAAAACATAACAGACACGATAATTTCTTTTTAGTTGTAATCAG